GGAGGTAATGTGTGTGTGTGTGTGTGTGTGTGTGTGTGTGAGAGAGAGAGAGAGAGAGAGAGAGAGAGAGGTAAACCACACAAAACAATAGGAATCTCACCCCAGCTCTGCTTATTCCAGCCTATTTTCTTAATAAAGAGAGTTAAACTAAAGATCTTTGAGTTTCATGCCATGTCAGTTGAGAAGAAACCAGGAAAGGTCAAAATGGAGTGGAACTTTTTTTCTTTTGATCCTCTCAGAGGAAGATGAGATGGCAGTGGAATATTAAAGTGGATGGCTTCTGATGCCATGTGTAGAGGTGGAACTTGGCTTGGGGTTAGACACTTCCCGTATGGGTACACTGTAACAGGGAAGTGAGCTAATTGCTTGGGTCTCGTGTCAAACCAGGGTCAAGTACCAGCTTTCTCACCTACCAGCTTTACATATGGAGCAATTTGCTTAGGTCCTCTCGGCTTCTGCTTCCTCATCTTTAAAACGGAGACAGCAATAGTGTCCATTAGGGGAATTAAGTTTTAAAAAGTCTGCAAAGGGCTGACCTTCACACCTAGCCCACACACAACTATTGGCTCTGCTGAACACTCCGGGAGCACCTACTGTGCGCCAAGAACGATGCCAGGCAATTCTTGCATGCTCGGTAATTTAACCCTTGTAGCAACCCACTCTTCCCAGTGAGAAAACTGAGGCATGTAGAAATTAAATTACATGCTCAAAGTCACCCAGCCACGGGGACATTGGGAATTTGGACTTGTGCCGGTCTCTTTGCATTACATCATGTGGCCTCTTTGGGGTTTCAGTGACCAAACAACTTGAATCCATTTCACAGCTGAGTCCCTAATAATAACTACCTCTCTGTAATTGATTGGGGGGATCAAATGCAAGAGCACTTATCAAAGCACTGCTGTGTTTAACTCTCGATATCTCTCCTCCCTTTGTTAGAGCGTGTGCTTGGGTCTCCGCACTGGGGCTTGGCAGAGCTGAAGCAACACTTCCTGAGAGAGGCTTTCCCTGACCACCCAGCTAGGGTTGCTTTTCAGCTGTGCTGCAGCCTCCAGCGAGGCCTCCTCACAGCCTGAAACTGTGTGTGTTAGTTCGCATCCTTGTTCGTTACTCCCACTGCACGGTGAGGTCTCTGAGAGAAGGGAGTTTGCTTTGCTCACTGCCATGTCTTCAGCACATGGCCCCGTGCTCAGACATGGGAGGGGCACGGTCAATACAACGACTGTTTGACCGATGGACAAATGGAGAAGCCCAACTCTTGTGAGAAGGCTGCAGACCTGGGAGGCAACATGGTGTTGGAGCACACACATTGCCAGGTGTTCAGTAACAGAGGGGATGGGGTGACGGAAGTAAAAGTTGCCTGGATTCTCTGCCAGTGGGTCCCTGTCACCCCCTTACCATGTCAGGAGGGAGATGTCCTGATTCTTTTGCCAAGGGTATGAGGCCTTGAGGCGCAGGCCAAGGCTAACTATGTCCCCGTTCAGCTTCTGCCTCATCCTCATTAACTGCACTTCACAGCTGGGCATAAAAAAAAGATTAATTTAGTGACCACGCTTCATAAATAGATGCTTCTGGCCTTACATTTTGTGCGCTGCTCTCAGGGCTAAGTGCTCACTGAAGTGCCAGTTTGGAGATGTCAAGGGCCGGCAGCTGGGCGTGGGGGAAGTGCAGGGATATTTCTGCCGAGTCTTTGTTCCCCGGCCCATCTTGCAATCACCCAAACTGCTGTGATGACAGGAAGAGCCTTCAACATCCATTTCCCCTGCAACCTAAAAGCCACGCTCTGGATCCGACCGCCTTGCGAGGCATTGCCACACGTACGGTAAGGCCCTCCCAGCACACTGGGCCACACTTGCCCAAGATGTGTGGTCAGGACATTTTGATTTTGTCACCACACACACATTTTTTAGTCACTGCGTAGCATACAACATTTGTAACCTGTTCCCTTGGAAAACCTTGACAAAGAGTGTGCCCTTTGGAGGAAGCTCATTTCCAGGTAGTCATCTCCGGGGAAAGTCAAAGGTGAGGTACTAGACTAGACAGCAAAGGTCGTATCCACAGGGGCCGAGCTGACCTGAATAAGTTCCAGAGCTGGTGCGCAATAGCGGCATGATTATTACAGTGTGCGTGCGTGTGTGCGTGTGTGTGTGTGTGTGCGCGCACGCGCCCACGTCTCTGTGTAATTGTAATGTATAATTAACACAGCGCTCATATTAAGCTCCTGGGTGAAAAGAGACCGGCAGGCTGAGGAGGCTGAGGACTATTCATCTCTAAGATGCAGCTGTTTACAGCAACCCTGGGCTCCCCGTGCTCTTCCTTTCACTGGGCGTGTGCCCGTGTTTTGTTCCTTTTTGCCGTTAATATTTTGGCCTTGAGGAATGAGGATTTGGGGGCTTATCCACTCCTCACCTCCCCTGCCACTCCGACCCCAGGAAGAAATCTTTGTTTCATTTAATCCTGTCCTCAGGCCACTGTACTGTTTTTCCAGATAATTAATATTTCTCAAGTGGGGAGACTCACAAAACAGGGCACACGCATCCCTTTCCCCGTGCGGGTCTGTCGCTCTCTGTGGGCACTGAGTGTGAGGGCAGGGAGGTGTGTCATCTGAGAGCACTTCCTCCTCATGCTCACCCTACTGCTCACAGCACCGTCATGTGCCTTTGACCTTGAAGAGAGGCGACCTTGATTGTTAGTGGGAGTTTGATTCTTGGAACGGCTTATAAAAATAAGCTTGTTTTTCTTTTTCAAACCCAGCATTCATTTTAGTCTGCATTGTGATTTGTGCTAAATGTGCATTTTGAAGAATTTACAGAAAAGATGTTTTTCACTCCCCCTCTTCTCTGACTGCTTGGAGCTCACTGACAGGCTTGAACTACACTACCATCTGGCAAGACATAGCTTCTGAACCCCCAACTGTTCTCCACACTCCAGCCCTCTCTGTTCCGGCTCTTAGAAGGGTGTGCTACCACTTTCTGCTAAGGGTTTTATAGCAATACAAGCTCCGTGTGTCTGTTTTCACTCCTCGGTCTTGCTATTCCCCATTTGGGCAATGATCTTATTTCTCATTAATTTTAATCATCTCTAGCTCCTGGTTTCAAAGGAAGTTTTCTAGTAAACTCCCAGAGCATCTTCTAGCAAGATGTGGTACACACTAGTCACGGCCTCGTAGCAGCTCCTCTTCGAATTCCAATGAGATGAGACAGAGGGAGACATATAGCTTAATCCAATTAACTCTCTTTGGCGTCAGCGACAGCAAGTTCTAGCAAGTGATTTTCAACCTCTGTTGTCTGTGTTCTGCCTTTGTCACTGTGACCCTGAGCAAGCTAGTGAACAACGCAGAACCCAGGCTCCCATTTATAAATGGAGAGACAGAAGCAAAGTTTAATCACCCCTGGGTGTTGGGATGGCAGAGCACCCAACACAGAGCAACGTCTGCAGTTTGTTTTCTTTTATGTCCTTGCTGAAGTAGGGAAACCCATGCTGAAGGTCCAAAAATAGGCATCCTGGAATTGATCAGAGCATTTATTTAACTGACAGGAACGTCCACTGGACAAAATTGGTTGGAAATCTCCGTCAAGTCCGATGGTATTAAATTGTTAATTTTCACAATAGAATTATTTCCATATTTTAATGAAAACAAATGTTCTGAAAACATTCAAAGAGTTTCTTGAAAAACCTCATGTAATAATAATAGAAAACAAAGTATTTAAAAAATCACATAATCTATCATTGGCTAACTATTGTTACTATAAATTTTAGCTCACTTACAAAATTTAGAAAATTAAATGGTAGATGATAGTGGGCCCCGAGTGTCTATGAAAGCAGGTTTAGGATGACAATATGGTCAGAAGGAAGAGCTAGAATTGGCTTTGACATTATGATTGCATAGCAAGCCCAGATTGCATGCTTATCAGAGATGACTTTGATGCTGATGAGAAAATAGGCCTCCTCTCAAAGCCTCATTTGCATAGCAAGCCCAATAAAGATCCTTCCTTAACCATATGCTTGTTGGGGGCTTTGGGGTATTGTTAGAGACGGTGGTAGGGCTGCAATTCAATTTTGCCACCACTGTTGATAAATTCTGTCCAAAATATATTTAGGGTTTCTGTTTTAAGTTTAATTTGCATAAAATATAGTGTTAAGATTAGACACGTGAAGAATTCAAATGTTGCCAGTTTCACTCACCACTAATTCCTAGACTTGGAACGATTTCCCTCTTTGCAGAAACAAGGTGTTTGACACAGCAGTTGAGAACTGCAAGTGTGATATCAGAGTTGTGCGTGTGCTGTGATTTCTTTCCTAAGACACAAGGTGTTTACAGGATCTGTGACGTTTGCTCACTTTATGTTTGGTTGCTTGAACAATCCAAGGCTTTTCTAACTCTGTGTTAAGGAGATAGTACAATTATAGCATTTTTCATATTTATATGAGTGGCACTATTGGCATGTCAAAGGAATAGTAATGTTCATCAGGGAATAGTTTAGATCCTGTCTCAAGTGGAATACTTATGTGATTTGATTTGAGGTCAATCTGTCCCCCAAATCTCTTCATCTGGTTATCCATGATGCCTGAAACCCTAAGATATCTCACATCTTTGGGTAAAATCCTAAAATGAAAATGCAATTTGGAGAAGTGGCAATGTCTACAGCAGTGATGGCGAACCTCTGACACGTGTGTCAGAGGTGACACGCGAACTCATTTTTTTGGGTTGATTTTTCTTTGTTAAATGGCATTTAAATATATAAAATAAATATCAAAAATATAAATCTTTGTTTTACTATGGCTGCAAATATCAAAAAATTTCTATATCTGACACAGCACCAGAGTTAAGTTAGGGTTTTTCAAAATGCTGACACGCCAAGCTCAAAAGGTTCACCATTACTGGTCTACACTGATTTTGCAGAATCAGATTTATAAGGCTTGACTACATGTGACTATCCTGGGAACTACATCTACATTTAACTTGATGGATCTAGCAGTGAAGCTTTGTATAGGTAAGAATGGCTATCCTCCAGTACTTGTAATATGGTATTGAGTTTATTTATTTAGTTAACCAATAATATTAATCAATTATTACTCTCTGTAAAAGTGGAAGATCTAAATACAAACACTAGAGTATATTTGTATTTTTTTTTACACTAAACATGAGCTGTTGCAACTTTCATTGATCACTTCTCTTGATCTCTAATTACTCACCAAGAGCCTTTATTTTTTAGAGTAAGAAACCTTCTGAGACATTTGCATAGAAGGTGGTGAGAGTAGCTGAGAGGCTCATGTCTTTGGGTTCCCACAGAGCTTATAGAAGAAGCAATGCAGAAAGGATGGGAATTAACCAGGAACCTAGGGACTATGTTCGGTGCTTTCTCTCATTATTATCTTTTTAAATTTTTGAATTTTTTATTATTTATTTCAGAGAGGAACGGAGAGGGAGAGAGAGATAGAAACATCAATGATGCAAGAGAATCATTGATAGGCTGCCTCCTGTACACCCCACACTGGAGATCGAGCCTGAAACCTGGGCATGTGCCCTAACCAGTAATAGAACCATGACCTCCTGGTTCATAGGTCGATGCTCAAACACTGAGCCACACCGGCTGGGCTGTTTCATTATTTTGTTAGTGGTGGACCATATGGGATATGATACATATGTTCTCTGAGGTGGTCATGTCTGAGATTATTTAGGTCCTTGGACATCTTTCTCAGGCTGAGATTCTCACATTATGACACTTTTCTTTGGGTTTCCATGAAAGCAAGGCCTGAGACAAAGACGTGGGTGCAGGCAGTTTATGGAGCAGATGAGCTCAGGACAGATGTGAAGGAGTGAGAAGAGTGAAAGACAGCATGAGGATGTAGTGTCAAGGGCATTGCTGTAGGCAACAGAGGCTTCATTCCGCTGAGACTTGATGAGACTTGCCCAGATGCTACTGAGGGTAGGAGGCTGGATGTCCATTCAGTGGCTCCTGCACCTCATTGCCTGAGGATCCTGGAGGGTGTAAGCTCTCCTGCTGTGCCTGTGCTGGGCTAAATGGGTGCCTGCAGCGTCAGAGAAGACTCTGAGCAGAAAGACATGCAGATCATGTTTGAGGTGCAATGCAATAAGAGGATTTAGTCTGAGCTTTCTCGTAGTCTACTGTAGAGGTCCTAAACCCAGAGGGCCTGTGATACCGGGTACCTAAGGAGTCTGCTATACTGGTTCACTCTGGTTCACTCATCACTCCTTTTGTCCATCTAGCCATCTGTTCATCTATCTGTTCAACCCAATGCACTTGTTTAGCACCCATCCTAACCCAGGCCATGCGCTAAGCCCCATGGACACAATGAGAAAGCAAAACACAATCCTTATCTTTAAGAAGCTTATATTTTATTGAGGAAATAATAGTTAATAAAAATTAACAAGTCAATAGAAGATTCTATAAGAACAACACACAGGGTCACTTAAATTAGTCTTGGAAGGGGTAAAGAACCTTCTTTTTTCTAGAGGAAGCAAAATTTAAGGTGATTCGAAAAGCCTGGAAGGTAGCCAATTAGACTTGACTGTGACTGGTCTTACGGTGGTCAGTGAAAGCTAGCCAAGTAGGTTGAAATTCTGACAGTTTTACCTGTTAAAATTTAGTCTTTAGTAAATTTCTACCAAATGATTCATTAAGTGCTAGAATTAGTTTTCTGCCACAGTATGAATATTTGGCAGGGAAATTATTGGTTAGGATACCATTACTATTCTAGGGCCACTTTTTCTCAATTGCCATTGTATTTTTTTGCATCTACACACATGTAGATGCTGACAAAAACAAAAATAATGTAAATAAAATCACCTGAGTTGTTGATTGTTGAACTGGTAGGCAACTTTGAAGTAAGTAAATGCCAAAGAGAAATCCTTCAAAGAGGCAGGGATTAATTAGGACCTGCAAACCGTCAGTGATTAACAGGGTGTAAAGGTTTCCTGATGTGTGAGTAAGTTTGCCAGAGTTGGGGTTTATACCAGAAACAGTTTGGGCTGCTGATGTCATGTCCCAGAATGCCCAGGTGTACCCTCCACAGCGCAGTGTCACATGGAGCCTGCTTAGCATCGCTGGCTGCTGAGAGCAGTTTAAGCTTGCTTGGGAGGTGTCACTTTCTGCCTACTGTGGGGAATTCTTCCCAAATGGTCCTTGGTTGGCATCTTGCCCAGCTAAAATCGATGTAGTATAGTCCTTTTAATCTGGGCATGGGACCAGAATAGCAGGAGTATAATTCTCATGAGGCAGAGAAAGATGGACGTGAGGGGGCTGCACAACATTATCTCTACAGTTGCTTACAAATTGTGAAATGGCAGGATCATACTAAAGAGCGAACATTAGTGCTAATGATCGTCCCTCTTGTCTTCATATGGAGAGAAGATTCCCTGATATACATGAAGAAATTAATTCATTACTTATATTACTTTAGATCATATGTTCAAAAATGCATTATGTTTCCACAAGGTGCTAAGCACTCCTGTGAGCTGGCATATGGTGGTGAACAAGAAAGACACAGAAGGTCCATGGAGATTATGTTCTCATGGGGGAAGACATGAAAGAAACTATCAAATAAATTAGCAAGAAAATGACTAGATAAGTCCTATGTAGAGAAGTCAAACAGATGTGAATGGGGAGTTCCATGTTGGATTTTCTAAAGGCTGGGAGGTGTGGACAGTTGGACCTAATTAATGGAGCTACTGAATAGTGGGAGGTGGGAGTGAGGGGAATGAATGTCTGGGTGATGATGGATGAGCTGCATTGGTGACAATGATGTGATACGATGGGAGAATCATCTGTTGGGAGAATGTGAGTAATCAGCTGACTTGACGGGGTGATCAGCAGGATACAAGAGCAAAAGGTGCTTTATGATTAGAAGCACAAGCCTCTTCAAGGCACCCAAGTCCTGTGATGCTGCCAGCAGGAAGGGCAGTCCCGCTTGCTGGTCAGAGGCCAGGGTGGAGTGTTGTGCAGTTGGGACACAAGTTGCCGCTGCTGACTCTCACTGGGGTAACTGGGTCGCAGAATTGAGAGGCTCTCTAATTTCAGGACTATGGACACCCTTCACACAGTCTGTCATCATCCTTTCCTCCAGGGGTCTATTCTCATCGCAGTTACTGCATTTATGACTTCATCCCCAAGGGAGGATTCATGAGCCAAGAGATGCATGATTTTTCCACTCTATATATACACCTGCTGTGAACTGCAGTCTGGTAAGCCAATTTTCTGTCACCTTCCATGGTAGAGCAGAAAGCAAAATGTGCATATTGTTATTTTAAAAGTATTTTATTAATATCTGAAAGTTTTTCTTTTGGCATATTTCTGTCTAAAAGGCCTGTCCATTTTTTTTTTAACCATTTTGTCTGAAATAAATAACCACTTCTACCCTACCCACTCACTCTCTTTTTCTTTATTGTTTTACTTTGACATTTTGGGAGTTTACTTTTTAAGTATTATACTGACCCTTTGATTGGATACTTGACTCATTATTTTTCATTTTTTCCATTAATACATGAATTTAAGGTTGTGAATTCCATATCACTTCAGCTGTATCCCACTAGTTCTGATTAATAATGTGTTTTAAAAATTGCTGTTCAATTCTAAATATTTTAATTTTAAAATGTCTCTTATGGTTTAATTTTTGAATCACAGATGACTTAATTATTGTGTTTTAAGATAGTCAAATGTATGGGACTTGGGGTTATTTTGTTGCTGATATCTAGTTTAATATAGCATTGTAGTCAGAGAATGAGATCTGTATTATGCCAATGCTTTGGTGTTTGTTGAGTTTTGCTCAACAAAATTTGATCAATTACTGTAAATATTCCTTGTGTAGTTAAAAAGAACATGTCTTCTTTAATAGTTTGTGCTGGATTGTATATATACTTATATATTCAAATCTATGTCCTCAATAATTTTTATTCACTTGATTTCTAAGATCCTGAGAGAAGTATATCAAATTCTTATTAGGATTGTGTAATTTTCCATTTCCCTTGGAAATTTTTTCCTCCTATTTTTATTTATGTATTTCAAACTATGTTGTGAGGTGCTTACAGGTTCAGGATTATGACATTTCTAGTAAATTTCTTTTATCATTATTAAATGTTCCTCCTTTTTCCTGTAATGCTTAAAAAAACTTTTTTTAACCTTGGTTTTCTTTACTAATATTTAAGAAAGCAGCCCTCTTTTAGGAAGTCTTTTGTTAGAACATCTTTCTACATAATTTTAGTTTCTATTGTGGGGAACCTTAAGATTAGGTGTTTCTTTTGTTATCACATATAGCTTGATTTCTAATAAACTGAATAGTTTCAGTATTTTATTGTAATTACTTTGCTTGTATTGTTCTGCCATCTTAAATTGTTCTTTTTAGTTATCTCACTTTTTTCTTACTTTGCTTTGTCTTCTTTCATACAGCTAATAGGTTTCTCCTCTGTTCTGGGTTTATAATAATGAATCTTATTTGTAATCTTTAAGAGTTTGTCCCTACATTTTAAATATGCATTCTTAACAAAATATAAATCTAATAAACTCTCTGGCAAACTCCTTGCCTTTATACAATAAAAGCATTATTAAATATACTAATATTGATTCCTTCCTCCTATATTCAATGCTAAAGTTTCTTAGTTATTTTAGTTGTGTCCTACATAATAATCCTATATAATAAAAGGGTAATATGCAAATTGACCCTAATGGCATTACAACCAGAATGACTGCTCGACCAGTCACTATGAAGCGCACTGACCACCTCTTGGTCCCTTTCCCTGGCCGGCAGGCTCCCATCGCCTGATGGTGAATGGGGAACCAAGGGTGGTGGCGGGGACATGGATGGCGCCAGGCCAAGGCCCACACCCCACTGGTCACCCGACACACAAAGGGTGTCCCGCGGTGGGGGCAGGGCCAGCAAGCAGGCGGGAACGGCTGCCCTTTTGGTTCCTCCCCCCCAGCTGGCAGCCTCTGATCACCTGATGGCAAATGGGGAACCAGAGGTGGGTGGTGGTGTGGGGAGGGGCTGGCTGTAGGCAGCTGGGGAAGATGGCCCTGATGTAGGCCAGGCCTAGGGATTGTATCCATGCAAAAATTTCATGCTTCGGGCCTCTAGTTTTTGTATAAGCTTGGGTTTTCTGAAAAGCAGAAGGCAAGGTAGGATTAGGTATGCACGAGATCTATTGTAGGAAATAAAAGACAAAGAGGGAGGGAACAGGAATAGATAGGCAGAGCCTTCAGACCCTCATGCAAGACTGACAACTGTGAAGGGTGAGAAGAAAAGAAAGATTTGATAGGAAGAAGCTTAGACTGAAGGGTCATTCTGGGAATGTTCTGATGAGGAGTTCCTGAGCAAAAGTTACCCATTAGAAGATTGTATGTTGAGTGGGAATGAGCTGACTCTAGTACCCCTGAGACTAGGTAGTCCTCAGAGTGAATGCAGTGTGAATCCAGAAGTTCAGTAGTTGGGGATATTGGTCAATTAAGCTCTCTTCAACAGAATATCTTATAGGGAGATCCACATGGCACACCTCTATGGGAATATTGGGCAAATGTTCTCAGATCCATTTTCTACATTGCTAATTCTCTCTGCAGTTCTGTTTGATTAGCTGTTTAACCTAACCATGAATGAGTTTCACAGTCAATGATTAAGATTTTTATTTTAGGGGTTATTTTAGTTTTTTTTTCAAATCTGTCAGGTTTCCCTTTTTTCAGCATCTTTTCTTGTAGCTTCTATACCTTTTAAAACTCTTGTATTAGTTTAATTATTGCTTATTTTATATTCCATCCTATCTGCCTCTCACATCCTGGATCCTTCCCTAACATGTGTCATAACTTGTGAATGCATCTTCTGCTGGTATTGTTTTTTCTGAGGGAATCAAGGGCAGACGATTTGCTGTTGCTTGATTCTCCAGAGATATTTTGGCTCATGACATACTTACTTTAATTCTCAGCCTGGAAATTCTTATATTACTAAGTATAGGAAATTCTTATAGTTCAAGTGGAACTCCAAATGCATGTTTGTGGCAATTTTGGGGATATTTCTTTTTCTTACTCATAAAACAAGCTTCTCTATAATTTTATTGGAAGATGAATTGAGTTTTTCTTCTACTGAGGATGTAGATCTTTTAGGGTGCCAGGTTTATGAGTGTTCTTAGCCTCAATTTCTGCTTCAAAATAAGCCTAAGTTCTTTTCTTCTGCCCCTGTGTGTGAATAACAATCAAGTCTCCTAGCCATCAAGTCCTATTTCCAGGTCCAGCTATTTCTGTACTCATACCATGTCAGCTTGCACTCTTACTATTTTGATTTTTAGTTTCATCTTTGTTTCTTGCATTTTGGGATATCTCTTACTTTCATATGACCTTAGCCATAATTTTAAAAATGTTTTCGTTTGACTTTTCTGAGTCTTCGTAGCATGACAATTTTTACAAGCTATTCATTCCTCTGTGTTGCTATCGCAGACAGTATCTCTTTAACCTGCCTTATTTTTTTTTTTTTATTAGTCACAGGGTGAATTCAACAGAAGCAGATACCGAGGTAGATTTGGGGTTCCAAGTTGTTTATCAGCAATTAATCTGTGAAAGAAAGCAGGGAGCAGGATTGGGCACAGGAGGAAGTAAAACTGCGATGTGGGCCTGATAAAGCCTCCGCCAGCCTTGTGGGAAGCTCTGGGGTAAAGTCTGCCTGTCAGAGTGGCCTGTGTTGAGCCAACATGGCTGGGCCTCTCTATCCCTGCTCCCTTGCTCAACCATCAGATGCAAACATCCTTGGAAAGCGTATGGCCATATGAAGGGTGCCTCTCTGTCCCCCAAGTGGGTCCTGAAAGTGCTGACAGCTGGAGCTGCTTGCTGACCACACTTCCCCACAGCTGGACAGCGCCTTCTTTCTTGAAGGGGTTCTAGAGAGCATAGCTTTCCATCTGCCACAAACTCCCTGAATTTCTAATGTTTAGCTATGTCTCACTGTTTTCTTTTTCCTTTTGCAAAGAATGTAAGCTCTGTGCCAAAGCTGAGCCTGGGCTGGCAGAAACCAAGAGCTGGTGTGTGTGAGCAGAGGGAAATTAATTAAGATTGGTTGAGCAGGCCTAGACTGGGATGTGTCTTGAAAAGTACAGGGAGAGTTTGGATTGATTGTCTACTGCTGTCATAACACATGACCACACACTCAGTGGCTTACAGTAGCACAAAGGTGTTATCTCATGGTCCTGTAGGTCAGAAGTCTGGTTTCTTTGCTCTGAAATCAAGGCTGAGATCAAGCGATTGGCTGGTCTGAGCTCTTAGCTGGAGGCCTCGGGGGAGAATCTGTTCCCTAGCTCCTTCAGGTTGTTAGCAGAATTCAGTGTCTTGTGGCCATAGGGCTGAAGCCTGTTTTCTTGCTGAGTGTCAGCTGATACCATCTCTTAGTTCCGTCAGGCCACCGCATTCCTTGTCATTTTGACCTTCATCTTTGAGCCAGTAACAGTACTAGTAGCTAGAGTCTTTCTTCTCTGTTTTCAAGAGCTCATGTGATTAGACTGGGCCTACTTGGGTAACCCAGGATAATCTCCCTATTCTAACATCTGTAGCCTTGATTATATATGCCAAGTCTCTTATGTCATACTAGAGGCCCGGTGCATGAAATTTGTGCAAGAGTAGGCCTTCCTTCCCCTGGCCGCCGGCACTGGCTTCATAGCCCTGGCTTTGTCCAGAAGGTCGTCTGGAAAGATGTCTGGTCTAATGAGCATATTATGCTTTTGTTATTATAGGTAACATGACATGTCACAGATATCTGACGTGGACAACTTTGGGAAACATTATGCTGCCTGTCACTCCTGGGAAACAGGATGCAAGTGGCATTTTAGGAAGATTTTTCAGCAGTCAGGTAGAGAGTGAGTAAGTCTAGGGAGATAGTGAGAAAGGTTGATGTTCTAATAGAACAGGAAACCGTGAGGGCAATGACAGTAAGAATCAGGAAGATGGAGACTTCAATTAAGGTATTTAGGGATATCTGACCAGATTTGTTGACAGATGTATGGTGGGTTACATGAGATGCTGTGTTTGAAAGGTGGCGAGTTTGGTGTTGAGCAGTTGGACTCAGTATTCTCACCCTAGCGTGAGGCTGCATAATCCAGACCATCAAAGATTTACCACAATTTCTCTGACACAGAGACAGGATTACGTGGGCTAGGACACTACGGACATATATTGGTTTTCATTTTTTATACTAAAAACAGTCATTCTAGAAGCTCTGAGCGGTGAACAATAAGATACC